TGCTGGTTCGCCGGGGCTTGCACAAAAACAAAAAAGCAGCAACAGCAAAAACAAAAACCCCCGTTCCGTGTTGGCACATGTAGGGCATGGGTCTGAATCATTAGAGTAGGGTTGTGGAGTATGTTCTACTACATAATCATCCCAAAGCAGTATTGGCAGCTATTGAGGCCAGGGTGTTGACACATCAGGGGTCAGGTTTAAACTCTAGACGTGTGAAGGGCTTAGGGTTTTAGACCCGGGCACTCTACACATGGCTTTGCGATTGCATTGCGCTGGTTTGCGGTGTCCAACCCAAAGCTAAACCCTACCTTAAGAACCCAAAACCTACTTTTTTGTAGGGTCCCTATAAATCCCATATTAGGGTTTATAATAAGAACCTACAAAAAAGTGGGTTTTGGGTTCTTGAGGTAAGCCCTAAACCCCTTGTTCCAAGTCCAGGCTTCCCAAAGCCTCTCTTCAAACGGATACCTGACAGAGAACCTAAATTCAAAACAGGCCCCGCATCAGAGAGCCGCTCTATGCCAAGGAGCATAGCCCGGGAACACGGAAGCTCCATACCAGGTGTAGCCTCAAACAGAAAAGCCACAAAACATGAAGAGCCTGAGAAGAGCCAACAAGACATCGCAGTCGTAGACAACTTGTCAGAAAGACAACCGGAAATAGCATGAACACATCTCTTTCCTCGCTTTTGCCTGAAGCTCCTTGTAGGGGGCACAGGAACATGAAGACTCTACTTTCGGAGGAAACCCTAAACCCTAAACCCTAAGCCTTTACATAAACCCTAAACCCTAAACCGTAAACCCTGAAACAAAAGCCTTTCAGAGTATTCGAGGGACTTGGGGAATGATTCCTGTTCACGTGGAGGTCGGATCCCTTTTCTCATAAGCCCTACTTAAAGGATCATGGGACTTAGTAAGTAGGACTTACAACCCCAATTAGGGGACTTATAGCCTTACTTACTAAGTCCCATGATCCTCCAAGTATGATCCGTCGATGGTTCACCCTTAACAAGAGTAGCTGTCGAATGCACGAGGGCACCCGTTTGAGAGACTTCGGAAAAGAAGTGACCTGCATCTAGGCACGAACCCAATATCAAAACGCAGAACGGCTATGCAAATGCAATCACGCTTTGCAGGCGCTGCCCTTCAATCCTCGTTTCGTGCCAGTCTTGGACAGATCCAGCTTTTCTCTGAGCAAAATAACCCCAAAAACCCTTAGAGATGGCATTCGGCTTGCTCTAAACTGTTTTTCTCTTTACCTCGCGAATGAACAAGTGACCGTACCCGAAGTGAAAACTAGGTTTTAATGGAGCCAACAGTGTACGCCTGGCGCTTCTCAGGGCTTCTGATATGGCAGCCCTGAAAAACCCGGTAAAGGAGCCTGCCAGGGTGGGCCACAGGCCCAGAAACAAAGCTGACAGGCCACTTTCCTGCCGTTGGAAGGCTGTGGGGGTTGAGGTTGCGGAATCGAAATCTAAGGCATTTGTAAGAGGCGGATTGAAGAATTTGGTTATTGGTGCTGCTGGTTGTGAAGCTGGCGATGACAATGACAGTGATGAAAAGACGATCAAGGAGGAGGACACTGACGACGTCAGGACAGCGTCGTCAAAGCTGCTGTGATGGCGTCAGTGAAGCGAAGAGGTGAATGGTCTGCCGATGCAGTTGCTGCTGTGTAGAGTCCTGGCCCTGACCATGCTGACGATGATGAGCGAGCAGGCGGAGGGAGGAGGAGGAGGAGGAGGAGGGTGGTGATGGTGATGGTGATGGGAATCGGGATGCTGCTGCTGCTGCTGATGTTGGTCATGACGATGATTTGACGCCCAACCACGAACCTTAAGTTTGGAGGCACGAAGTGACCCAAACAGGTACCAAGTCTCCGAACCCGGAATGTGGCCTCAAGAACGCCTGAGCCCGAACAAGGCAAACTCTCCATCAGCCTCCGAAGCTTTTGGTCACGAAAACACCCTAACTTCCTCAAGGCCTTAGCTCCCGAAGATGCCTAATTAATTGAGGCCCATGGAACTTGAAACACTGTATTTGTGGAGGTTCAAGGGTCGGGTATGGGATTGAGTGTTCGGGGCTCGTACTGTCAGAAGACAAGGGCCTTTCTTTCGGATTGCTTGGGAGAAGGCCACCTAAATGCCAAGTTCTGAAGCATCATGCGGTGCAATCAAGGCATGCAAGTCGAAAGCCCCAAGCGGTGAAGCAGAACATCAGCACCGAGAATAAGGGAAATCACCATAGAATGAATGCAGGAGCAGACTCTATAACTAAAGCGATCATGCAAGTTCAAACTCCTGAGGCTTCTACATTAGGCTTACTCTTAAACTTATTGGATCTCATGCCTGAGCCCCAATCCTTACGCAATCCATCGATCTCCCCGTAAACCCTAACCCTAAACCCTCAACCCTCAACCCTAAACTCTAAACCCTCAACCCTAAACCCTATCAAAAGGGCGACACCTTCACGAGTCGATGGCCGGCTGTGAGTAGCCCAAGGCTGCCGAAGCGGCTGGGCTCCGTCTGCTGCAACGTCTTCACCTCACTTCAGGCCGGGGTGCCTTTGAACTGAGCCTTGCAAGGGCTCTCTGTTTCTTTGCGCGCTGGTCTTGCCAATGAAGTTGTAGGGTTTTAGGATTTAGGGTTTAGGGTTTGTTCCCCTGTCTCTTAATTATTTCTCGCTTTTCTGTTTTTTTTTGTTTGGGGCGGGGGGTTGGCGTTTGGATGCCTAAGTTGCGCTCGACGACCGCAAACGGACGCCCTGGCTTCATCAACTCCTGAAAGCAACGGAAGCTGCACCATCGGAACAATTCCGAATCCCAAAATCCAGAAACTTCAAAGCCTCAAGGTCCAGGGTCTAGGGTTTAAGCCTCAAGGTCCCCCAAAGGCCGTAAATGCACAGCCCTGAACCCTGACACTACAACTGTGGGCATTTCTCTTGCTTGAGGGCTTGATAGGATGCCTTCGGCATGGGGAAGTCGCTGCAGATGTTGAGCTAGAGATTGTAGGGTATATTTCACGGGCTTGGGCTTTTGCTGGAATGGTTCCTCTGGGACTTTCAGACATCTAAAGCTACATCTTACACTGAATACTCGGATCCCTCCCCAGATTCTCATCAAGCACCAACTCAATGTGGATCCTTGACGCTTGCAATTTAGGGTTTAGGGTTTAGGGTTTAGGGGGTGGGGAAGTTTCAGGAACATCGAGCGATTGTGCGCTGGAGCACGGCATCTAAGGATCAGGCCACATCTAGTGGCACCAGCGCCGCATGGGTCAACGTACATGCCAGGGCTCCTCCAAGTTGTCCCGTCAGGGGTTTAGGACTTAGTATAGGATTTAGGGCTTAGGGTGTAAGCTTCAGGGAACATTGTAAGACGGCCATAAGTCAACATTAAGCCACGAAAGCGGTAACTCTAGACACAACCATTCCGAACAACCTCATTAAAGTGCTTGCAGCCCTTCTTTGTACGTCTTCTTCTTACTGCCTTGGCACCAAAAGCCTGCTAGTAATCGATGTGGCTGTCGCTTCTCTGAGCGTTGTTTCTACTCCGATGCCTTGGGGTCGGTAAATACCTGGAGGTATTGGTTTTCAGTCCTGAACATGTTGATCCCTTAACCCTGGAATGTCGCACCATAGACCGTAGAAGCCGCAATATCCGACATGGGCATAAGTAACTCAAGACTCGCAGAGTGGCAAAATTGCAGGAAACACCGTGGCACCCCTGCCTGCGAGTGTAAAGAGCGCCTCGGCATGGGGAAAGGAACTTCTGCATGTGTTTATGCCTTGCCCCTTCGGCGACAGGTCGTCAGGAAGCTAGAGTTCATGCCGAAGCCCGAAAATCTTATTAAACCCCAACCCCTTACCTGTCACAACCCTGTAAACTCTAGCCATACGTTGTCAGTTAGATTGAGGAATTTTCCAGGGTCCAAAAGGACTCCTGGTGCTTCGGACTCCGGAATCTGGAAGCCTGATGCCCTCGTGGGCTGCCTCAAGTAAATCCGAAACTCGGATAAATAATATAGGGGAATCGTGTTTTGGGGGGTTCCTAATTATAATCATAGTATAATATACCCCGAAACCCTATTCTAATTATTAGGGCCCCTATATTATACGGGCAACTGCTTGCGACGGATGTGGGAATGCATGTCAAGGGTTTAGGGCTGTCCACTGCCATCACTCCATTTGGCTTCGACCTCCCCTGAATTCAGCAAGATTCCTACAAGAATAGCTACTCTGGGCCTGTTAAGAACGTACTCTACATTTAGGAGTCTCTGCCTGGTTAATCACTAGACTTTGCAGTAACCAGGGAGAAACAAGTATAGACTTTAATTTCATACTGGTTCCCTTAAGGAACAGGTCCCAACAACAAAGTATTCAAGTATGGTACTCCAGAACCCAGATCAATACTACTAAACCCTAAACCCTAAACCCTAAACCCCTAAACCTTTACTACGAAACAGATACTTTCGGGATGGAGTTCGGGGATCTGAATTCCCGAGGGCCATTTCACCCTGCGTAGCCAAACACCAGGCGTTTCGAAAGGCTTAGGGTTTAGGGTTTAGG